GTAACTGCTGGACTAATTAAATCTATCAATGAAAAAAACAAGAAATATAAATTATATAAGACAAATCCAACAGACGAAACAAAACAAAATTATTTGTTCTATACAACTAAACAAAACAAAAATATTACACAGAAAAACTACAAAACAACAAATCCGACTCTAAAATGCTATGGAATACCATAAATCAGATCTGTAATTCATCCAAACCTGAAACAAAAATTGAAGAAATAAACGTCCATGATACAACACTTAAAACAAGTAAAGATATTGCTGATACATTCAATTAATTGCTGATAGCAATGAAAATAAATAAACCTAACACAAATATTCCGCCTAGAAAATGTATACAACAATCGATTTTCTTAGAACCTGTATCTGAGAATGAAATAAAAAATGCCATACACTGTTTGAAAAATAAAAAGGTCCAGGTCTTGATGGTATACGATCAGAAATATTAAAGAGAATTTCATCCGCCTAGTAAGCCCTTAACGTACATAGCAAACATGATACTTGAATCGGGAGAATTTCCAGATGATTATAAAGTAGGAGTAGTAAAACCCATCCACAAATCCGGTGAAAAAACAGATACTAACAATTACAGGCCTATAACTCTAATATCTAACTTTGCAAAAATTATTGAGAAAATTATAAAACCACGACTTCTAAATTTTTTTGATAAACATAATCTGATTAATGAAAATCAATTTGGATTCCAGAAAAACAAGTCTACCCAAGACGCAATTTCTTTTTTGACATCAAAATTATACAAATTACGGGACCAAAGTGAATATACCCTGTGTGTGTTTTTAGATCTAGCCAAAGCATTCGACACAGTAGACCACGTGCTCCTATTAGAAATCTTACACGACTCAGGAATTAGAGGCAAGGCTTATAACCTCATGACATGCTACCTTTCCAACACAGTGCGTACAAATAAATAATTCCTTAAGCACAAACAAATTCACATCGTACGGTGTCCCACAAGGGACAGTGTTAGGCCCCTTATTATTTACACTTTACATTAATAGCCTACTGAGCTTAAAATCTGAAGGGACCATCATATGTTTTGCAGACGATACTACTATCCTTTATTCGGATAACAACTCGTGGGATGATCTAAAAGTGAAAGTTGAAAGAGACTTAACGATAATTGCAGACTGGTTCAGACATAAAAGCCTAACTATGGTTATGCCACTCACGAATCACAGAAACAAATTACCATCCTTTGTATCCATACAGATTAACTGTGATTTTATAAATACTCAAATAAATTTCACAAACAAAATGAAATATTTAGGTGTATATTTAGGCTCACATTTAGAATGGAATATACATATTGATCATATAATAACCAATTCGAGACCATTATTGTTTAAATTCAGGTATCTAAACAAATATTTGGATAAAAGAACAATGAAAATTTTATATCATGCTATGATCGAAAGTCGTATAAGTTACGCATTATTAGGTTGGGGTGAAGCACTTGATAACCAAATTAATAAATTAGAAATTATCCAAAAACAATTTTTAAAAATAATCTTCACGACACCACTCTTTTACCCATCTGATCTGTTGTATTCTGAAGCAAAACTATTAGACACTAGGCAACAATTTTTTTATAAAATTATAAATTATCAATTTCATGATAGAAATAACATTATTCCGTTAGATCACTTACATCAAACTAGAAACAAAATCAACAACATTAAGCGAACACCTTTCCAGTAGAATATATAACATATTACCAAATTATATAAGAAATATTTCAAATCACACAAAAAAACAAAATTCAAAATTGAAACCAAAAAATTTATAATTGAAAAAATCGACATCAAATTGCAAACATGATACGTATGAAAGAAATTTAAAATTAATGTAATAGTAAATTTATGTGTTTATTTGTATGAATATATATGTATATATGTACTCGTATATATGTGTATATCTGTATATGTATATAGGTGTATACGTGTGTGAGTGTATATATATACGTGTGTATATATATATTTATGTAAATATTTAAGTTAATAAGTAAATTCAGTTTATTCACATATACCTATGTTAGTTTTAGTTATATTTGTATGTTACGTTTTTTAAACAAATTTAAATTTCGTTCGTAGAGTAAATTTATTTCTTTTGTTTTTGCCTAAATGTTAGCTATGTTGCTATAGAAATATGTATTTATGTAATATTGACCAATTATTAAATTAGTTTTTTCGTTGCCAAGGCTAATTATTCAACCATTCATTTAAATTCGCAGTACATTTTCTATCATGCAACAAATTTTTTAGTTTGATTTTATTCAATTCAAATTTCAATTCCCTTTATAGTGATATAAAATTCAGTTCAGTAGTTTTGAAGATTTATTGATTTAAAGTTTAAATAAAACTAATACATCATCAGTAGTGGAGATCAATACATTTGACAGCAAAGTAATTTAAAAAGGAAGAATGAACTGACCCGTTAGGCAAGAAAATGTTGAAAATGACTCTCCATGCAATAATAAAGATTTTGCTCAAAACATTGCCGCACATTTTGCAATGCACTCATTCACAATTCTTTGTCGCAGGTAAATGACCCCACATAAAGAAATCCAAAGGTGATAAATCTGGCGATCTCTGGTGCCATTCAATGGCACCTCTTCTACCAATCCATCGATCTGGAAACGTCTGATCTAAATATTGTCGAACACGTAATGCGTAATGTGGTGGGGCGCCATCCTGTTGGAACGTCAACCTATTCGCAATGTACCGCAGATCATACTGATTTTCAATTATGGCTGTTAATGCAGGATCTATGGCATCTTCCAGTACTTCCAAATACATTTCACCGGTAAAATTTCCAGGTAAGAAAAAAGGACCAACTAAATGATCGCCAAAAATACCAGCCCAAACATTTAATTTTTGTGACAGCTGTGTATGAACCTCATGATAAATTCTGGGATTAGAATCGGACCAATATCGGCAGTTATGACGATTTACTACGCCATTTAAGAAAAATGAACATTCGTCGGAAAGCAAGTGTAGAATAGAAAATGTTCATCGTTTATAATTCGTTCACTCATATCTTCACAAAATTGTAATCGCCCATCAAAATCGTCTTCATTAAGTTCTTGTACCAGGTGAATTTTATACGGATGAAAACTATGGGTCTTTAGAATCCACTGGACTGTATGTCGACTAACACCACACACAATCTCCAATTTGCGGGTACTATGGATCTACATAAACTTGCCCTAAAACCCCTACTTCTATTGCTTCGTTCCTTATGGGATCTTCAATGTTGCATTTTTTATTGGCGACTGACCCAGTTTCCCGAATTTTAGCTACAAGTTCTAGAACATATTTTCCATGCCCGTTACTGTTCTCATGTCGCTCATTAAATATTTCTGCTGTTCTATTAGCGCACTGATTATTCCAGAAAAATATTTCGATAATTTCAACTCTTTATGCTGTGGAATATACCATGGTTAATTTATGTAATAAAGCGTTACAAGGTATTTTAGCAACAAAGCTTGGTCAACTCAATCGCAAACTATGCACTAGATTCCTATTTAAAATAAGTACGAGATATTTCCTTACCTTTCTTCAAGAAATAACTTTTTTGCCACAAAAAAACGCTCCAATATCTATTTTCAACAACAGAATGATAAACAAACCACGGGCGTAGTGAAGAAAAGCATTTACTTATTAAGTAGATTCTTTTAGACAAATTTCTTTTGAAAGTAGTACAAACTAATCTGATGTACCTATTAAAGCTTTAAATCAATAAATCTTCAAAACTACTGAACTGAAGCTCATGTATTTTACATCATTATAAAGGGAATTGAAAGACTTTTAAAATAAGGTATCACTCGACGCCCCTTTCCATTTAAGATTTTAGGTTGGTGTCACCCCCGCCCAGTGGGCTGCAAGTGTTAACGTGATTTTTTGCCAAACTTGTGCCCCCCTCGAAAACAAAATCGACGGGTCTGAACGTTTTTCCAGAAAAAAACCTGAGCTGCCAGTAAATGCGTCTGTTTCGTTTTCGATGCGCCACCCTGTATATATATATATACATCACATCGTTATTAGATCATCCATCAACAGGACAATTTGCATGCTGTAGATCATCCGGCGCGTTAGGTAGCCCATATACGGGTGATCTAACGCAATCCATCTAGAACAGCCACAAATATCATATTTAATCATTTGGCAAGTCTTCAGAGGGATCACTTATAACTTTTTGTAAAATATGTGTAATATAGTTCATTCGTTTTCCAGATGTGCGGATAGCGCTAGTATATCTCGTATATTGGTGCACGTATACCTCAATTCATCTCTACGAGAGTGGATCGATCATCTAGAGGGTAATGTCTATATGAATCTCAAGCGGTAGATCATCCATAAACGTGGCAACCTGTCTTCATGAAATATTTATCGATTTGTTAGCATTCAGCTTTCGGCTTGATGCTTGATACCAAGGATCAAGGATGTTTCATGGAAAGACTGACCAAAGACTCGGTTTCGGATAGTTTTGGCCAAAAATTCTAGTTTCGGCATCAGTTTCAATTTCGTGAAAGAATTGACCGCACCTTCGGGCGCACCGAAGTCCTCTTCTATCATGTTTATTGTTTTTAGTCATGTTAAATTGTTAATATGTTAATATAACGAAGATAAATATCTTAATCTCTATCTTATCTAAATATTTCAATTATTGCTTTTATTCCATTTAATACAAGTGCTTCAATAAAGTCTCGGTTTCACCCTAAACATATAGTAAAACATACAACTGGTTTATATATTTTATTGTCAGGTTTTCACAAGAATAAAAATGGAAATACTCGCCATATAAAAAAACATAAAAAGGAACGGTTTCATGTTTATAACTTATTTCTATACTGATTTTGAACAAAAACTAATTTTTAACCAGTATTTATTTTGAAGCAGCTCTTGATGTTGAGCAAGGAGCTCTTCACATTCATTTTGCCTTGGAGGTGGCTTTAGCCTGATGTGATCTTTTTAAAAAAATCTATTAACCACCTTTTTTGTTCTTCTGTCCATTGTACCAGGACCCTCTTCTTCCTTATTTTTTTCTGTGTACTTTTTATATTCTATTTCACTCCTTTCTTGTGTGCTTGTGGTTTCATTATTATCTATATCCAAAACACTAGGCATATCTTTATCTTTTCCCGCAATCTCCATCAAATCCTCTTCCAGATTGAGATTGATTTCATCTAGGCTTTTTCCTTTGAACTCTCCAGCTTTTACTTGTTCCATGAGTATCAACAATTTGGAAATCTTCGCCGTCTGATATACATCATCCGGGAGTCGACAGGAAGATCTGTGGATCCCCAGTGTATGCCCCATTAAGGAAGCTAACTGCTCCATATCATTTTCGTTCATATTAAATAATTGTGTAAGCGTGGCTAGATGTTTTCTCAACCGCGTACATGTGAGAGCATCTGATTTTTTAGCCCCGCAAAGAGTTGCGTATTTCCTGAGCACTTTGTAAGCAACAATAGGATCTCCAGAATCTGGATTTGTGAAAAGATAAGCCGTTTCTTTTTGAACAACATCCTTTCGGCATTTTAAAATAATGTTTAAGTGTTCGCTTATGTCTTTTCTGATTAGTACTGGAACGCCTCTATTTCGTTTCCCTTTTATCACTATTCTTTTGAAGCTATTCGTTAAACACCTTTCCGTTGCAGAAATTACTTCCGAAAATTCTTCATATGCTTGTTTATTTTCGTTGTTGAAAGCTGATGTGTATGTATTGAGCAGTAACCTTTGGAGTTCTCCAGGGCGGCGTCTATTTAGAAGCAATATTCTGCAATAGACTGTTTCAACCAATTTGATAAAGGCCTTCTTGTCATGCCTGTTAGCTTGCAGCATAGATACTGCCGAAGTAGCTGTTCAGTAAGCACTCTTTCAATAATTTAAGATCTCCAGCCAGTGGTACTAGAGTGACCTTATTCCATCAACATATGTTCAGATCCGTTGCAGCCTGACTTGAAACATCAAATCTCCAGTTTCCCTCGATGATCTGAATTAATGTTTTATGGTCTGCTTCTATATCAGCAGACTGGACAGATGGGAGCACTACCGATTTCTTCAATGCCTGTCACAGCATTGTTTCAACATGGTACCCATATTGAGAGCAAACGTAGGTGCTTGATATCACTGGGTCTTTTTTGTCATATTTTGAGGCATTTTGTGTGGCAGAAACAAGAGTATCATAGTTTACCGGTTTTAGGGCATTAAAAAGTGTTAATACAGCGGGTTTAATTTTCCTAACTTCTATCAAGAGTCTTGCTGGTTCTCTCATTTTTCGTGATGCAACTGTAATGAAGTGTTTCCCTCTGTGAATTTTCAAGTATCTTGAACCAAAGGCACATATGAGAACATCCTTTTTTGCTACAAGTGAAATGTGATCTGCTCTCATTCGAGAAAATACAGCAGATGCTAAATGTGGATCTGTTCTCAAATGCCCGAGCAATAAGTTTTGCCCCTCGCCTCGGAAATTTTTTTGTGATTTTCCCTTACACGGATTTTCACCGCAATATTTACGGTGTCACCATAAATTCCTTGTAGAATAGAATCCAAAGCAGTATGTGGAAGGTAGGTAATTTGAATCCAGTTTACCCTGTCGTACCGGCTTTGCAAATTCGTTGCTATTTATATTATATATATTATTCACCTTTTTTCTTAAATCTAATAGTAAATTATACCTATCTTTACTACGTGTAGGTAGCGCTTGGATACTCCGTACCTCCATTTCACTCGCGTGATTCTTAAATAAGTGCCTGGGGAAATGTATTACGTAAGATTCACAAAAGTAACAAAACACGGAATTTTTTTTCATTTGAAGACCTCATATCCTAGTAGGTGATGTACTGGTAGAAACTTCATTAATTGTAGATCCGAGGTTTTCTTTGTTTTCATTCTGAGGCCTTTCAAAGCTCTGCAATTCCTTCTCATCAGAAAGATCATCAAATCCTGAAGACTCTTCCTGAAATACGAGGATCTGTGCAACTTGTCTTAAAGTTGGTCGCCATAACTTACCAATTCAATAGATTCCTTAGAAGGAGAGTAATCAGGATCATCGGTTGTATTTGTTGAGTGTGAAGGTAAATGATCATCGAAACTCTGAAAATATAGGAACTTGATCAATACTAAGAAACTTTGATACAAACCTAATTACTACTTTTTAATTTAAATTAGAAGGTGTAGAATTTGTCTGTCCGTTATGTACTTGTTTATCAATGAAACTTGAATCTAAAATCTCTATTATTCAGGAATAAAAGAACAAACATCAAAACTTTTAATCGAGATCATCGGTAAGCAGACTCGCTCTAATTTAGTTGAATTAGAAACACCTGGCGTGAAAATATGAGTATTCTATTGATTTTTTTTCACAAGATTACTGAGGCACAAAATTTCAAAGAAATTTAAATATACAACACAGAAATTGAAACAAAATTTATTTCATTCTCCCCTTTTATACGTTACAGGTTTAACGGAGTTGCCACTAACTGCTTCAGCTATTGAACCGACATTGGCAAGTATTGGAATAACAATACATTCACGCTTATTTTAAAATATGGTATAAACAACAATAGAAGTCACCTCATTCTTATCTACTGAACATTCCTCATTTACTACTCTATTCGGTATAAAACATTCATTCTCACTTGGGTCGGTAGGAGGTGTGCAACATATTAGAGGAGAACTGGAAGATAATTCCTGCAAATGATGTTAATTCATTTTTTTTGTTATATGACTAAACGTTAACTTACCGACAAAACGTCATCAAAATCATTTTCCCAACCAGTTATAAGTGGCTTAACGGTGAGTGAATCAGTCAACTCCTGGAATGACCAGATATAGCATTAATAATATCCCAACAAATTTTTAGCTAAATTTTTTTTGGAGTATTCACACAGTATATCCAAGAAGTGATATAAAGGAGATGGATCTGAGGGTAGCTTTAACGGAATCAGGATTTGAACCCAGAACCTTCCGAATCTAACGGCTATGCTCCAAAAAGTGGTTATACGGGGTTATTTGAATTTTGTACAAGGCGGTTATAAGTTCAATCCCTCTTAGTATCGCTGTTGCTCAAATATCTTATCATTCTAATCGACGTACACATGAAATGCTAGCTACTTTACACTATCTATGAAAGAAATTAATTACACTTTCATGTTTTTACTATGAACTTCGTCATAGCATAACCACTAGGGTATGGAGGCTATTCTTATAGCTAAGTCCAACGCTAAATGTCTATACTAGGTAGACATGACTTTACAAATCTAACAGCTGCTTACTATCCACCAAGCTATACGAAGACAGGTGTATTTCTGTTGAAATTGACTCTATTTGGTATACGGCTATCTAAAATTAACATTGAGTTACGGATCCATTAATAAATATAGCCTCCAAAGTATGGTAGCTATATGTAGGGGCTTGTCATTGCTAAACACACAATGAAAACACAGTGTAATTAACTTCTCTCAAAGAACCTTTCCCCATTTATGTCAGTACTGTTGATAAAATAAGCACTCCAGCGACAAATCAAATTTTACTTGGTTATGTTAAAATGTAACTAACATATTTAGAAAACATAAAAATTGTCATTTTTGAAGTTACTCCCACATTTGTAAAACCAATTTGATTGAACATATCTAGACATCTAACCCCGCAGATATACATATAAATGACTGCACTTCTATCAATATACCTATTTTACACTGCTTGCAACTAGTAAATGAGACATAGTTACTAAAATATATTATATGACATACGATCAGAATAAATCAGATTCCAACGAAAAAAAAACAGTTTATTTTTCTGGAAGTGCAGTTTCTTTTTAGTACAATTACTAACTGTTCTAGTAAGAACCATAAAACATATGTACTTAGCTCACCATTTTTAACCCAGCCATTGTTCTACTCATTTCCTGTGGCGGATCAAGCGGTCTGTTACAAAACCAGTTAGTTTTTTTTTTATTTGAGAAGTTCGAGGAGCATACCTTATACTATAAAAAACAAACATAGTCAGCAGGTACAGAATAATGAATTCATGTTTGAGTATACATTTCTTGTTAAAATTTAAGCACTTCCGCCAGAGAGTGTTGCGCCTAGTCATCGCTACAATTTTGGTCTTAATCCTCTCCTGAAGACCCAACATATTTGGCGAAACACTTGTCAAGCGTTAAATAATAGGTTTGGTGATAGGACTCCTCATCTTCCTTTACATCATAATAGTAATCATTTATTAATTTACGGGTTAATGAATTTCTTCAAAGCAATAAAAATATTGTTCTCTCCATCCTAAAACACAGATAATATGTGTAAGACGTGTCAATCCCTACATCTCCGTGATGCATAATGCAATTACTATGGACATGACAAAAAATTATGAAAAATGTCTCACAAATAATGTCTTTTAAGTCCAAAAATCATAAAAACTATTAATGTTTATTGTTTGATTGCCTTTTTCACTGGTGGGGTTATCTGTCTGTCACTCGTAGGGTTGCCAAGTCTAGCGACGATCACGTCCCGTGGTGAAGGGTGCGACAGTAGGAATACAAACATAGTACTTATGATAGTTGGAGCTAGACTGATAACACTTATTGAAGAATATTTGAAAAATGTGAACACTGTCATGGTCTGTTGTCAAATTGCAAATGAAGTATCTGAAAATTCTTACATACAGTGGACCTTCGTCATAGTTTACTATCCTGATTATGATCATTTTTAGCACATGTGTTGTATCATCAAATTGATTAACAAATATAAGAAAGCTCTTATATACTTACATACAGAGGATTTTTCATGTAAATTTACTAGGTATCATGATTATAAGCATCTTTGGTGGATTGTTCGATACAGAATGGGAAAGATCTCCTATTTATGAAAATATTTTTGGTATCATCTAGCCGTTGCAATCAGTGCACAAAAACTGTGTCATATGATTTATAACATAACCCGCTGCCCTATCAATACAAATTTAACATACAGGTCGCCTAGCCGTGGAGATGCAGTGGTCGGGATGAATATCACGGTAGCAACTGATGATTTGGACATATTTGGTAACAACGTATGAAGTGAAACTGGCTAACTTCACAAATTTTAAGATTTTGTACAATTTCTTTGAAAATGATAAAAGATATGTCTGATTTGGCAGGGTAATGTCGCAGCCAAATGGTAGTCACTCTTTCTGATACAGTCCGGATCGAAAGATGACGATACTCGTGAAACGTATTGATACTTCTAAATATAGGATCCTATCGAACAACCTTACTGTCAAGATGTATAACCCGAGGTACCGACGGAGCTATTTTGCGGCGTCATGGAAATAATTTTAAATTTTCATTTGCATTTCCAAGTGTTGTGCAACGATTTTGGGAAAAATTCCACGAATACTCTTATAAAGCATAGTAGAGTATATTTCAACAGTTGGCGGAGCTTACTCCACTGGGACCAGGGGGTGAAACGGGATATTAATGCACAATCTGGCAACCATGTCGCACCCTCACAAAATGGCCGCTGACAACCACACAAGTCACCGTGTTGTCATTGAATAGCATGGAATTAAACCTTCTTCAGAGTATATGTTTTGTGACGGGGACCAGGGTTGACAGATCCGACACATGTGTCACTCGATGAGTCTTGAAATGCGATAATCAGCTGTATTCAAATAATGTATAATATAAATATAACCTTCAATGTGTACTCGTAAAAAAAGAAAATTATGGCAAATTTGTAGTTTTTTGCAGGTTTTAGGTCTGCTGGTAGCTTTAAGGCATATATATGGGAATTTCTTAATCGCTGTGAATATAGTGTGGATGTTTGTTCAGTTCCTGAACAACGAAAATTATTCAACTTTATGGATGTATGGATATCAAAAAACCTGAATGGTTTTGTGGGAATATCAATCTAAGGTACCATAATGGTTCTGATGGACGGCAAGTAAATGAATGAATGTTTGGAAACGAGCAATATCTTTTGGTAGAGCCTGTCATCAAGTAGGTGCTTAATGGCTATCTGCAAGAGATTTATAGGACAAAACACCCAGTTGAATCAGTAAAATCGCATATCAATTGAAGGAAATAATATAAACATGAATAAAAAATCAACAATAGTAATTAACACGAATTTAATTCAAAAATCAAACATTTCTTTAAATTTTGACTGAATTATATGTAATTTCTTAATATTCAATAAGCTGCTGATGTTTCAATGACAAGCTGTCATCTCATACTTTGACAGTATTTTGTTTTCAACATTTCATAGCTATTGGTTGCTAAAATTTGTTGATTGGAACTTGAAGCTCATTTGTTGCATTTGACGGACTGTTACCCTATAGGTGGAGAATGACGGACCCTTAGTCTTACAAAACGTAACAGATAAGATAGTATTATTTTTCAATACTATTCCCCACCAGTGCTCAGGGCAATTTTTTCTTTCAAAATACTCGGAATTTTGTTTTTTACTCAGAAGACAATAAAGTAACGTATATCTATATTCACCTTATAGCACTGTTCTACATATTAGTTACAAGGCTTGATTTAACAGTAATTATTTGAGTGTTCTGTCTGTCTTTAATTTATACTATACTAAGATACTTACATAATCATACTACAAAAAATCCCACTTATCACATTAGTTTTAACGTGGCCACAAGTGGCTTCACGATGTAATGCTCTAATGTTTTTAAATAATTTTTAATCTGTCTTTAACTTGTTCTTGTCATATTTTATATAATTTTGACCATTGTACCATGTATCCAGCTCTCACCATGTTACTGGACGTTTCCCTCATCCTATACGTAAACAACAATTAGCAACACCCTTACATACTACTGTAAGTTGAGTCAATTTAAATTCATTTTACACTTTTGTTGCTACTGTTATCATTGTAATTGCAGCTCCTGATGATGATGGCAAAGTCCATTGAAAGCTAGAGAGAATTAAAAAAGTATAAAGAGTCCTCTTTGCTTAAATTTTGTCGAAGTACCCAACAAAAGGCAAAAGCTTTAATTTTTCACTTAACTGGTCTAGACGACAATGACCACGTCTCAAGTTATATATATATATACAATTAATTGTTAATTGGGAAACAGGCAAACTTTTAGGCTTTAGTTAACTCTTTTGACGATAATATCAAGCTTTCGGCGATTCTCTATGGAGCCTTCATCAGGATCTGAAAACACAGTTGTGATGCTAGCAACCAATACAGGAACGACTTAAATTGTCAATCAACTTACTCGTCGTTGAGGTTGTAGCCAAATGGTGTTTCAGAACGAGCGTGGAGATGAGAACACTTGTTACATATATAAAACCAATCGGACGGAAACATTGGGCTTATTGATAACGACAGACACCATCGTTATGTGTGTTAAAACTATCAATACACCCGAACATGTTAAAAATTAATTAATGAGATGAAATTTTGGGGACACAATCGGAATACAGTTTCTAGCCTCCTACTTCCGCTACACGTGGAGAAGGTGGAAGGAACGTAAAGATAATGCGTCGACAGATGACATGTGATTGACGCGACGGAATGTGGATCTGTAAACATCATGGTCCAATTTGGGTATGAAGTATACGAGGGACGCTCGGTAAAACCTCGTCCTAATTACCAAAATGCTGAATTAAATTTGTTCTGGAAAAGTATGTAGTTCATATGAGTGTACGAATGTAAAATAGTGATACACACTTGAAAAGACGGGTTGTGCGAATTCATATTAAAGATTGTGAGTGAAAAGTTTCAATTAACAATATAAGCAATTGGAAATGTATTTTAATTTTGGGATGACGTTAGGTAGGAATAAATGACACTAAGCTGCTAAAACATCAGCCTTTTTATTCATGCAATGATCTGTCATAAGAATGTGGGACATTTCTAAAAACAAACATTTTGAGTGTATTTTTTTCTTTGTCAAGAACCTCAATACTGCCATAATTCATAGAGTGACCTGTGGTGTTAATATGTGATGCCAAAGCACATCTCTCTGGATGCAATCTGGCATCACTTTTGTGCGAAGTTATCCTGCCTTTTAGTGATCCCGATGTTTGACCTATATAAACTAAATTACAGTTGTTGCAATTAATGCGATAGACAGTGTTGGTTGAATCACGCAACTGAACCTTATCCTTCACGAGCAAAAATGAAAATTCGAAAAGGTAACAAATAAGATAAAAGCTGAGGTGTGTAATTTTCTTTTTTGATACAAAATTCGGCACTCCAAATTTCAAAATGGCGGATTGAGGGGTTGCCGAAGTGGACGTTTTTTCTGGACAGAACACCTTACAACGCAGTAGCTAATTACCAAAACCCCGTAGTATGTTATATCAATTTTCTTCTTTTGAATTGGTTTATTCAAATATGCAATAAAATTTAAGGCATTCCATTAAACAAATCACAACTTTGATATGTAGGTCAAAATTGGGACACCCTGTATAATTGCCAATATTTTAGAAATGTGCTCTTAAATGTCGTGTATAACATGCCGTTAATATATTTTTCTAAAATGTATTTGTTTGATGGGCCACCCTGTATATATATTTGGCGTCGACGGTGGCGTCCATAAAGAGTTCTTGTTAAATGGACTCCTAGAGTATATTTGCTATATAGACTGTTTCACATCGAGGTAAAAGTGGTACCGATGCATAACGGTCTTCATATGACATGCAAATGTGTATTATGATACTATTTTTGGTACATTGGACTCCGTGTATCAGTTTTCTTGAGTCAATAGGTATCCGGACAGTGTTGCCAGCTCTAACTTTAGCACACACTGCTGCGATTAGTTCCAGAGAAATACACACCAGGCGGTGGCAGCTGGCTAACTTCATAAGCTCTGCAACTGCCTTAATGATACTGATCCTGGCTTATTATTGATTACAGATGGAGAATATATAATTTTTTATCGTTTGACACTACATTATTTTCATAGGTTATGCGCTGTTAGTTATCATTATAAACGCATATATCATATCTTATTTAAAAAATATTTATATTGTTGCGCGGCTGATTGACACATTAAAAAAGGCTTAATACGCAAGCTTCGCCCATGAAAGAGTAGGAGATATTCCAGGATAAACAAACTTTAAAGATAATAGCGCAGTACGCTTTAGCTTTTTAGGCATTTGCAAAAATAGAGGCTACATAAATCTTTGAAATACCCTAAGCACTCTGAATATTTCCAGTGCAGCATTTTTTTAGGGAGAAAAGGAGTTTTGAAATCCTATTGTACGATGTTTCTTTCATTGGGCTGTATAAGAAAGATGGACCGGAGAGATAATCACAGGTTAAGTTGTTCTAGTTATTACGCTGAAGTTCCTCTTATTTATGGTCCTGAAGGGGATAAAACTATGATAAGTGGCTTGAAGAAGGTGGACACTTGCATTTTTTTACAGTTCGCTCCCCGTTTTTTTTCAGACTATCCTATACTAATCATGATCTGAGTGTACTTACAACAAAGTCTATTAAAGAAGAAACCCCATCAGCGTCTCAAGGAAACCTCACGAAATAGAATGGCAAAGCTCCACCTCAGAAAAAATTAATAATTATCTAATAGTTACGTTTGCATCTTTTCCATATAAAAATCGAGAAGGGCTATACTCAACTATGGATCAGGAATTTTGGCCTAAGGACACAGTTTCGCTGATAGTCATACGTCGAAACATACATCCATCGCTTAGACACATGGTCGAGTAATGAGATTTCTCCGAATCGACAGATAAGCCTTCAATGTTGCAGCGAAGTATCTCTTTGGCATAGTGGTTTGCCCATCTGCATTGCGCTTTATATTCAACATGACCAAAAGCCTTAAAATCCAACCGAAGTGTTAATTCTTCATTTGATACCCCTGCATGGTGAAATCGTGGTCCCCTATTATTCCTGGAAATGAAGGAATCGAATTATTGAGAGAAAGTGGGCGTTATTATCTTCACTGGGAAATGACGTCAAAATCTGGCAGCTACAAGGTGTGAATGCATTCAATTTCCAAACAATAGTTTCCTGTGTTCATCATATCAGTGACTGTTGACTATGTCTATACAGACGGGATTGATGAACGATGGCAAGTCGCTCGCTCTTTTTCTCCAGAGGGTAATTCGGAGAGCAGTTCTGAGTCGTCTCAATGACCATTCCAATTGTAAAACCTCTTAGCGGTTCGGTCCCCTATCAAGAACGTGTTGTATAATAGCAATGAGTCGACGAAAGGTGTGGTTAGGTGTTAGGGCATTGTTGTCCTCTCAATGACCATGCCAATTGTAAAACTTAGCGGTTCGATGTTGTATAATAGAGATGTTGACAGCGCTCGCTCCCCAATCCAATCCCGATGTGTGTGTAAAAAGCGAGGAGGTTACATACTGAAAGTGATTCAGTTAACTTTCAGTGATCAATCAGTACACATACTTCGTTATAATGTATACGTGTAGTGAATGTGGTAAAAACTTTACGCGGTTGGATAATTTACGACGCCATGCAAGAAATATTTGCAAAATAGAACTTGAATCTACCAGTCAAGCTAAGAAAATCAAGCTGGATAGTTCACCTGAAACGCTTCCGAAAACGGTTTTTCGACCACCCACACAAGAACATTACAACATAGAACAAACTCAGCGGTGGTGTAAGACGTATCAACAGCGGTATTCAGATGCAGAATTGTCAGATCCAGATTTAGTTCATCAGCTGCATATATCAACTTTAAAGACTGTTTCTGCAACTTCCAACAAAATGTGCTTGAGATTAAAGAAGAGAAGTTTCGAGTACCTATATAGAGCGTTGAAAGTGAATATGAAGGTGTTTGCAAAATATGTGTTACAGACCAAAGATGTCGTGGATATCACGTCATCCAATACAACTAACAAAGTAATAGATGATAAAGTAGATCTACCTGTTGTTTACAAGCATTTCACTGATGAGATTATATCACAGTTATCGGAGTTTGAAAAAAAGGATTCTGGTAAGTTATTTAGATAACTAATTCAAATCTTGTAATTCTCTTAATTAAGGTGATTGTTATTATCATTATTATTAAATTTAAGATACTAATAATCCTTTCCAATTGTTTTCAGGATAGGCCATAGAAACTATTCTGTTTGCTGAAGTGAATATAAATAAGTTTTCACCATTTGGAAAATCATCTTATATCAAGTTGCCACATTTTATCGAGAAAAAAAGGCAATTATAAACGTTCAAAATAAAGATGAGTATTGTTTCGGTTGGGCTGTGACACCTGCACTGGTACCAGCTTACGCTCACGCATCACAAACATCTTCCTACCCGCACTTCTCTACAACCCTGAATATTGATGGTATGCCATTTCCAGTTGATCTTAAAGATCTTTCAGTGTTTGAAAAAAATAATACGATATGGGCTCGAAGAGATAATTAAGAACGGTAATGTAACTTATGAAGTAGTAGGACCGTTGAGATATGCTAAAAAGATGTTAAAATTGCATGTTAATCTGCTGTATTTAACCGATGATAAAGGAAACAGTCACTATTATTGGATAAGGGATCTTTCATGGTTAGTTTCACACCAGATAAGCTTAAATGGACATAAGAGATATTTCTGTGATGGTTGCTTGTTACCTTTTTCATCTGAAACATTTCTTGATATCCATCAAAAGAATGATTGTAACCATGCTTACACAAAAACACCGACTGGGAAATTACGGACAGAGGTTCCAGAAAACATACTTGTATTTAAAAATTTTTAAAAGCAAATGGCAGTACCTTTTGTTGTGTATGCCGATTTTAAATCTCTATTAAAACCATTTGATAGTTGTGAACCAAATCCAGAACAGTCTTACACAAGTGGAAACCACATACATGAACCATAGTCATTTCCATATTTAATCAAAACATCGTTTGATTCACAGGTGGTAAATTTTGCTTTGTATAGGGGTAAAGACGCTTCTAAGAAATTCGTTACGGGATTAGAAGCAGATTTGAAATTCCTTTATTTCAAATATATGAAAGATGTAACTCCAATAATTCCTTTAACATTGGCTGAGCAAAATGAATTTGATATTTGCAATATTTGTGAGAAACCATTTTCAGTCGAAGATGTAAAAGTCCGCGATCATTGTCACATCACGGGTAAAGTGAGATTCGGTGCAGCGCATTCCAAATGTAATTTAAATTTCAAGCTACCAAACTTCATACCTTATTATAATGCATAATCTGAGTGGGTATAACTGTCACCTATTGATGAAAAATTTACGCAACAACGTTGGTATGGGGGCCTTAATAGCGTGTCCAAATTTCAAGAGTTGTTACATATTTCACAAAAATTTAGTAGCAATCCATTTAGGAACAGTGAAAGTGAGCTATTTTAAGCCGGTATATATAGGATTTTGTATATTAGAATTATCAAAGTTAGTAATTTATGAATCCTTCTACGGATTCCTCAAAAGTAATTTCCATGACAAAATATCTGTTATATTTTGACACTGATTCGCAAGTGCTAAAAATATATACAGAGGATTTCTATAAGTTCATTAGGAATCATGTCAATGAATTTGACAAATCAAATTATAACCAGAACAATCAATTCAGTATTTCAGTGAATCAAAAGATCCTCGGTAAAATGATAGATGAGTTTCCAGCGGATCCAATAATTAGCTTTTATGGGACGGGTGCAAAAGCTTATTATATCAGGTCATTTAAAAGTGAAACGAAAAAGGCGAAGGGTGTTAAAAAGGCCGTAGTACAGAAGCAGCTGCCTTCGGATGACTATAAGAAAATAATCGAAGGAGGTTGGCGGATATTGAGAAAGACGCATACTTTTAAAAGCAAACTACATGATGTGTACACTGAGGTGAAAAATAAAGTTGCTCTAGCACATCATGATGATAAAAGGTTTATTATTCCTAACACCACAAAAACTTTACCTTGGGGACACTCTGACATTGAGTTTTACCAGACTGACACCTCGTTGAATAAAAAATATGCTACAGATGCAATCAATGATGTTGCAGAAGGCGTTTTTCCTGTAAAATGGTAATTTAGACTTATTAATAAAATCAATGCTAGAGGAAGTTTGTAAGTACTAAATTTAGGTTACTTCAAGCTCATACAGGTAAATAAAAGCAACATGTAGTAAGAAAATGTGTTTTATTTCACACTTACAAAAACATTCAACAGTAATGGACAAGTCCATTTTGGATAGACCCATCAAAAGCGTTGTAACTGATTCATGAATCATTAATAACTATTGCATACACCTTGGTTTGGAATAGAAATGCAGATTTCCTGGACTCAAATTCCAAAGATATGTTCACAGTTGTAAGTTGGAGATGATCAGGCTGATTGCTGCAATCAATAATGAATAGAGGACTGTCATTAAATTCTTTAATATTCATCATAAGTTCAGGAGTGTTCCTGTTGTAGTATGTTCTTTGAAAGTTCTCAAATGCATAATAAGCTGAAGTGTTGTGCTTTTTTTCGAAATTCAAGTTCCACACTTTCATACTTGGTTGTTCAACTTCAACCGAATCGAGTTAACTTTGGCATTTATGAATTTCGTTATATCCATCGAGTGATTTTCTTTAACTGTAGAAATGAAGAACGAAGAGATGGAAGCTCATGGAGATCCCAAGATCGAAATGCTACCTTGATCCTAGAGCTCACATGTTCATTCATCCTTTGCAGAAGCTTGACTTTGTAACGATATTCCGGAACGATGTGTTGAACCTGCCATTTAATATTGGACATTCACCTGCATAACAGTTTTTGAAAGATCTTGCAATAACCAACAGAAGCTCTTGCTTTATATTTAGAATCTCTTTTTTGTAGTCTTCGACGAATCCCATTATATATTTTAGGGACATCCTACCACTAAAAACTTGGATTTTGTCGCCCCATCTAGCCGAGTTCTCCCCCCAACCAGTACATAAAAGTTTATGTATGGCACTCTTACCATGTGACACCATCGTTTTTATAGTTGGATTCCAAACACCATAAACCTTTTCGCCACCCATCTGCAGGGAAATCTCTTGAAACAAACAGGCCAATGCATTGTTTGATAGGGAGCAGGATTTCGTAGCGTCGCTAGGCGTAAATGTTCCTTCGACGAAAATATAACTGTTAGCAATGTTTAAAATAAGATCTTGAAAGTTTATCGGTATGTGACTATATCTGAATTCTTGAAATATGGTGATCCATATGGTTTTTATGTGTATTTCTGTAGGCTGGCTAAGGAATGATCTATGACGGGTTCCTCAAAAACATCCAATTTCTCATTGGATACGCGCAGATCAATATTGTTTGATTAGTTTTAGCCCTATAGACTCCAGGAACTTACGATTTTGCAGTGAAATATTGGATGCTGTGTCTTTGACAATAGTTGAACGACGAATAACGGAATTTCCATTGGTTCTTCGTCTTTTATGATTAGTTGTTCAAATAATGTATACCCATGTTATATTGAAGACCCATCTTCTTCAGCTTGCACTAGACAGGCATTGCCGTTCTAATTTGATGATCATTTTTGCACAACGGAAATTAAACAAATTCCCTCGTCATCCAAAATGTTCAGTGTGTGGCATCCACGCGGTTTAACGCTCATATGTATTACATTCTGAGGCTCCTTTATTAATTTAAATCCCGGTTCAACGTCTATATCAAACTCATATAAAGTGTGCATTTCATTGCCATTGAAATAAGCTCCTGATATTAATCCACAGTCAACTCTTATTATCCTGATGGGGGTTATATTTACAGATAAATTGGACGTGTAGGTTTTGTTTCTGGGAAAATTTTGATCTTAAATGCAAGCAAAGTTGCCATAGAATTGGACAGAGCAATGTCGAATACAGAATGTAGTTCAAACTTCAAAGTATTAGTGTTGGCTTTCAAAAAGAACATTTCATCAACTTTGTATTCGTACCTCTCTTTATATTTAATATTCATTGATATTATTTCATGTTGTATATATTTATTGATATCTTGTTTTTCATAAACACCTTCAGGAATGTTTACCACATTACTCTCATCACCCTCGTGAGTAAGAGATATTTTATTATGTTGATGATCAATGTTGTATATGGTGATCAACCCCAGACCATATTCCGCACGAATACCCAACTCGATTGGTGGATAAAAATTAGCAGACAGTTTGCTCGTGTAACCTGTTAGAGTAAATGTGTTAGACATGACTAAAGTGTTAGTGAATGAAAACATGGTCTTATATAGGAAGACACAAATTTATTGGTTACAGCAGTTGTTTCATCATTACTCCTGCTTATTCCATCATGTTCCCAGCAGAATTGGAATCGCTGTATATCAGCGTCCTCCTTCAAATGCTCCGGTAGTTTGTTCGATACATGCGCTATTTCGTTTGGCGTGTTGCATATGAGTACCTCTTTTGGTATGTGTGCAAGTTCATCTTGCGTCATATCTAACAGGCTTCTCTCACTTGAAAAGGCTTTAAGAGAGTATCTAGTCTTTTTCAATCCTTCGTGATCCATTGTCTTCAGCGCTCTGATGTTCTTCAGATAAAAATCGCAGACAAATGACCACACCAAAACGTATTGAACTGTTGTTGTACAAGATTTTTATCTTTTTCGACTTGGTCAAATATTTGATTAGCTCCTTGGGTGGGGGTAGATTGCAGAAACTATCATAGTACTATACTACCATCCCATGTTTCATATATGAAACCCAATGTGACCCATCCCCACTCTTGCTATCTGAATGAATGATAACTGATTCATTGTTCAGCGGACCCTACTCGGACATTTCATCGCGCATAAATACTCCTTTGAAATATGGTATTTTTAGCTTCCTAACATAATAGATTAGATCTATATTTGTTAGGGGTCATGGGGGACGGGCTTTCAATAGTTTTATGAATTCGTCACTTGATGAAAAGCCCCAATCCTTTACGGTATGGTTTCAGAAAGAGTCCATCTCCAATTCGATTCACATTGGAAGAAGGTGCTGAACTGGATTTATTTTGAATTTGCTTATGCACTGAACTAGCTGTTTTAGCAGCTCTTGTTATGTTGGTAATACCCCCAGCCAGGCTACCTGATGCTGAAAGACTAGCAAAAATTGGGAATAGGTATAACTCGTGGAAGCTGAATCAGCTGTTTTCGACCGATGGATCAGATATGCTTCCGGGCAGCAAGTAGTGCAGCGGAAGTCGCTTTTGCTTATACTCTCTTGTCTGGTTTACAGTTTGAGAATCGTTTGATGTATTTGCATACTTTATTCACTATCCCCGATCCAGAATATAGGTACATTTTTCCGTGATCTACTTGATTTTATAGGCATAGCTTTTCTTCATTTCCGTCCACGATGTAATGCATGTCCTCCCATACCTATACGACGTTTGACTTTCATAATACTCGATTTTCTGCGGATGCATTTTCTTCTACCCCGTCCACGACATGATGCTAGACCCATTCCTGCGCGACGTTTTACTTTCATGATATGCCAGGCGGCAGCTTTTTCTCCAAGTTTTGCGTCTCGTGATTTGACCCTTTTCCAAGCTTCTTGCTCAAGCTGATAATCAGAAACGTGGCTCGCTGTCAAATCAGATTTCTGATATGCAATATCGTGCTGTAAGCTTCCAGCATCTAATTTACTAATGCCTTTCTGACCTAGGACTTACGTTTTTTGGAGACCACAGAACTGGTAAGAAGGCAAGTGTACTTCAAATGGTAACTTATCTATCAGCGTATTGACAAAACCACTACCGCCAGCTTTTGGAGCGCTTTGACACCTTCTTCTGCGAAGTGATGGCATTTAAATAAATAAGGCATACGCAATTGTGAGGTTTATATATGCTCAACAGAATTGTACAATGAGGGTCACAAAACAGAAACAAGAATTATGTATCAGGTGGCGGATATTCAGGACAATGCTATGCAGCGGCATGGAAGTCTCCTCACATTCACAATCCGCTGCATTATTGTTGGACCATCGAACTGTGGAAAAGCGTGGACTCGTCTTTGAAAACATCTATATATTTTCTAAATCATTGAATCAACCGAAATATCAATTTATACAGAAAGTACCTACTTCGATCAATGGCTTAGGATAATAAGCATTTAACAACAATTTTGATATTCTACCACCATCGAAAGCCAAGCCGAATTCAATATTCATTTTTGATGACGTATTGACAGAAAATCAGGCTACTTTTCTAGAAATCTTCAGTTCACAAAGGTGTGAATTGCTTCTATTGTGTGCAGAGTTACAGCTGGGTGCCCAAAAGAGTAATCAGAGACAATGCTAACCTAATTGTCTTATTCAAGGTGGATAACACACATTTATGTCATGTTTTTTCCGATCACGTAGCACCTGATATGACCTTTAAGCAATTTCAAGACATGTGTGCAATGTGTTGGAGCGATAAATTTAGATTCCTAGTCATCGATAAGGATAGCGAACTGACAAATGGTCGTTGTAGGAAGGGGTTTGATAGTTCCATAAATCCACTGGAAAATTAGAAATACCATCAATCAATCGTGGGACTGCATGTAGTACGCATCGCGGTGGATTAAAAGATAGCAAAAGGAAACGGCAGCAGAATAACACCGAAGTGGTACTCAAGAAGGAATTAGCAGATGCAGCAGAGTCAGTTCGGAAGAAATTTATTGCTATCAAGAAAAGACATGAATTCAATGATAGAGCATTGCATGAGGTATATGAACCCATTACTAAGCAACTCAAAACAATAGCGGAAGCCTCTACATCCAGCTTGTCGAAACAGTCAACACCCTAAATCGATAGTCCAAGCATCCTAAAAAAGTATCATTTGATGAATCAAGAAAGAAATTAGTTGATGCCACAAAATCACCTATAAGAAAAACTGAGTTGCTTAAGGACAGTAGTGAATTCAATGACCATACATTTGAGTAGATCTTTACATCGACCTCAAGCACCCCTCGCGCACAATCATCTGAGGAATCAAATAATTCAGGAAACGTGTCGCTTCCACTATTGCTTCGATGCAAACGCAATCTGACACACATTCATCACTCGGAGCGGAAGAAG